TAGGTGCGCCTGGTAAACTATTCGTTCGGGCAGGTGCACTCCCGCGGCAGAGCGAAGGAGCACAACAGAACAAGGCAGGTGCGAGTGAATGATTGCTTGATTTTCTTGGGCAGGTAGGTGCGGTGCAGTGTCCCGCTTTCCTTCCTTCCTTCCCGGCCGAGGTGAGCACTGAGATGTGAGGCAGGCGGGGGGCCCCGATCCCGTTCCGCCCGCCCCTTCCCCGGTCTGTCGCATTGATGAATCGTGTTTGCTTGCTTGCTTCCTTCCTCCTCAACTGCCCTGCCTCATCGCATCGTCTCTTCCACGTACTTCGCACTCTCCCTTTGTCATATTTTCCACTTCTTTTGTTTGTTTGGTACCGAGCGATTCCTCCCGTCGTTTCTTCATCGCCCATATCCCGGTCGCTTGGGCTTTCTTTCCTTGCAGCAAACAGGGGCCGCCTCGACATGCAGCTGCTCGACCAGCATCAGCACCCAGCGTCCCGCAGTACCGTACCATCAGCTGCAGCAACAAGGGCTGCAGGGCTTGCGGAACAGGGGACCTTCGACCCGGGCGCTGCGAGTCCCATCGATCTGGAACCTCCAAACTTTCTTCTCGACCCTTTGCTTCTTCTTCGACCTCACACTCCTCTTTCGATCCAGTCGAGGCCCATTTCGCGACATGGCAGTCCTGGCCGCCCGCATCCTTCTCCCTCGCGCATCTCGCAGAGATTTGCACGCTACGGCCTCAACGGCATCGCCGCCCTTCTGCTTCGTCATATCTGACATCGCGCCTCCTCCCCCCAACCGTCGATTGCCCCGAGGACCCTCGCCCAAGCATCGTCCAGGCATTACCCACGCAATGACACTGCGTCGCCGGAACACCTCCGGAATACACTGAATCCCTGCTCGGTCATGTCTTGCTCGGCCACGATCCTCGCCCATCATCGTCATTCCAGGGGCTAGGAAAACGACAGAAATCACAAGAGATAGACGAGACGGCCAGACTTCTGGAAGAGTCACCGGCATTCCTCGTTACCCTCCCATCATCTGCCGTCCCCTGTCAACCTGCTCTGAATGGCAATCATGGAATGCCGGTACTCAAACTCTATCCGCCCATCATCTCATCACCCTCCATCACCGGGGGGGAATTCGCCGACCGACCCAGACTGGGATTGGTCTGGATCGTGCTGCGCTGATATTTACACGCCAGCCGGAGGGCTGGTGGATGAATGGTGGTGGATCCGGGAGTGCCCTCTCATGACCGGCTGCCCAACCGACCCCTCGCGTTTTTCGTCATATCTGGAATCACGGCTTCGTGGCCGGCTGGCGGGCGCGTTCTCCTCCTCCTGCGGGTTGCGTTGCCCAACATCGCCGAACCGCCGTCGAGCCCGACGCTGGAGACTGCCCAGCCCAGCCCAGCCCAGTCGCCAGCTTCCCCACGGACGCAGCCATTCAGCTGTCAATCCCGGCTACTGGTTGCTAGCATGCACCGAGCCGCTGTCAATCGCCGCCCGCGATGCTCGTTTGGGTGCATCCCCCGTCTATATTGCCCGTCGCCGTCAATATCGTTCCCTCCATGTCGCAGTGCAGCACTTCAGCGGTTTCCGCCTGTGCCGGGGTTGAAGAATCGAGCCATGGATCAAGAGTCGCAAAATCGATAGACAAAAGCCAAGTCCGAAAGGGAGGGCTGCTGTCACGACTGCAACGCAACACAACCTCACGCACGCAGCCCACCTTGCATCCTGTCACTGTACTGTCACTTAGATGGACTGCCACACACATGCACATCATCCTGCGGTGCCCAGCTGAACCTGTCAAAATGTTAAATTTTCCCTGAGTCGTGTTTGAGCGACACCGGGTCGCATGATCTGATGCTCATTCCGTTGCCTCTCTGTGGCCATTCCGTGGGACGGCCCGCATTTGCGCCCTGCTTGGCTGCGACGCTGCTCTGTTATGGTCGGTCCTTCAACAATCACTATGCAGCAATTGTGCAGCTCCCGGATTCCCAGGTCAACCAGGCCCATCATTAGCATACGGCCGCTTCTTCATATCGTCGCTCGCAATTCGGGACTCGCAAAACAAAGGCTCTGCCTCGTTCAAAGAGATGTCGAACGACATGCACCGATCAAAGGCGTCATGCCCCAGATGGACACACTGCTCAACGTCACCCGGTGTTACACGACGCCGAACATGAACAGGTCCCGCTGCGATGCGGTCGGCGTCGGTCGGTGCAGAGACCAGCTTCCGGCGCGGCTTTCAGGGGCTGCCACGAGTCCGGGTCTGGGCGACGCGGACACTTCCGCCAGTCCCATCTTGTACGACGCGACTGGGTTCTCGTACCTTTTCTCGGTAGTCCTTCGAGTAAAGACCGCACGCAAAAATGTCTCTCCATCAGGAGCCGTAAGAGCCAATGTCAAACGACGACTCCCAAAGCCAGCATCGCCGAATCGTCTGCCTACCCCCATCGAGCCAACTTGCAAGGATTCAACGACACACACCGAATCCTGCTACAGCCTAGCCATCAACCTCTTCAGCCTGTCGTCATACTATTCAAGCCATCAGGTCGTGCAGCCTTCTGACGTCCGGATTTGAAGATGGTCCCGCGGGTGCCAGGCCGCCAGGGTCTGCCTTGAGGGGTAGCGGCGTGAATCCCCCCCTGTTAGCTCTTAGCCACATCGCGTCCTCAGCTTCTCGAGACATGGCGCTAGATCTGCAGGCTTCCCAATCCGGCATCACGTCAATGGAATGCACGTTACTCATCTCGACGGCGTTTCAACCGACTCTTTTCTCGCGCAGCCATCATCGACTTCTCTCACCTCTTGACACTCCTTCACGCCCGCCAATGCTCGCCAGATGCGCTTGCTTGGTCTTCCCGCGCGACAAAGAGACGGCGCCTTCCTGCCATACTCTCGGCCGTATCCTTATCGATCTAACCTACTCGAACCCACAACGGGCCCTATTCAACGGCCATTCGGTGCATGGTTCCCTCCTAGCTCAAGGCCACCCAGCACCATGACCGCCTAATTGTGCACGACATTGCTTTTCCTCCGATGAAGATGCTGTCACCAGGCCTCTCATTCGCCATAGTCGGGGACGGCTCTGCTCGTGCTATTCCCGACTTCGCCGGGTGATCTGGTCAGGGCAGGCAGATTCGCCTCGTCGGAACCTCCTCACCCTCACTCGCCTTAGGCTGGTCTCACCTGGGATCATTCCAAGATGTGACCAACTTTCCAACCCAGGAGGGATCGAAGAGCGAGACTTATCACATTTTATCACTGTCGCATCTTGGGGCAGAAAATACTGGGTAAGGGTACCCTGGCAGGACCGGCCTGTCGGTTCCAACATGGCCCGGGAGAGATTTGTGCAAACAACGCCAGGAAGCATCCAGCAAACACCTTCAACGTCTCCCGCCTCCCATATTCGCAATTTGGCAAGCAAACATCGCGAACCTCAAAAGTGGCTGTGCGGACGGGTGAGGTCCGCAACCACGTATTATCCGACCTAATGTTGACCAAATCCATGGCTTCTTCGCCGTTAGGCTTGTCCGACCCATTATCAATCTTAGAATCATCACTTCTAGATATTGTCGAGTCTGGACTGTTCTACTCCCAGGTACTGTATCTCTATTAGCTCCAATTCGAGTCCAGCGGCGGCCGCGGAGACTAAGAGGGTCCATCTGGGGGCCCTACGGCAGGCTGGTCAACGTCCCAAAGACTTTGCTTAGGAGGACAGCGGATGGCTCAATGGCAGTGGGAGAGGCGGCCGGCCTTCACCGTTATCTCTGCCATCCCGGGTCCGCTGACGCGAGGCGTCCCTCTCATACCTCGGTCTCGAGGCTAGTTGCTGAGTCTTTGAATCGACAGGGTCGCACGGCATCGAAGTCGCACCGTTTCTCCACGACAAGCGGTAGACGCGGAGGCCAGCGAGAAGCCGTCGTGCATGATCACCAAACCTGGCTTTACCAGCCGGGTCTTGGCATTCAATCATCACCCGTGGCTGCTGCTCTCTGCAGCCACTTCTGCATACCCGATGGCCCCCTGTCGACCACTGCCCCCCAGGGCCATACCGCACGGTGGTGGGGAAGAGCTTGGGGGGCCCCAAGCAGTGGGTGGTTAGAGGGTCAAACAGACGCCACGCCTCGCGGATGTGAGCCGTCATGATGAAGAAGCCTTTCACATCTTTTCTCTCTTCTGACGTCCTTTCTTTGTCGTTTGCTGTGCCTCATCAGTCCAATCTCTCTGTTCAAACTTCGTTTTTCGAGGTTTCATCTGCTTCACAACCAGGACCCTGGTGGATCTCCCGGCCCCTTGCAACTTACCCTTGAACATCTCAGTTCAGACCCCAGGGCATGCTTGAAGCACAGACTCGGAGGCAGCGCGACGTATTCCTGAGCTAGTGATTTTTTTCTTCTTTCAGGCATCGTCCTTCATCCCATGGCAATGGGGTTCGATCGGAGAAAGTCACGAAGGCCTGTACCAGTGTGCTGGGCCTCCGGGGAGGTGCCCATTGGCCGTCCGTCAAGCAAGCGTACTTGATGACCCCCCCTTTGCAGTACACCCCGTTCACAGACCAGTCCATGGTCCCGGGGAGGTTAGCTCAGATACCATCCCGTCCAAGTCCGATGAGCAAGGCCCAACATCCTCGTCCACTCTGTTCCCATGTTTTACCGTGGCGTCCACGGCTAGTCGACGTTGTCCAATGGCAGCGGCCCGACGCCCATATGCTTTTTCGAGCGGGCTATAGTCGAGGCGAGGAATGGATCAACCTGTGTTTGTCGATGTCAGTTGGTACTTCTCTCCTACCTTAGCTTACACATCTTACACGCGGTACACCTCTCCCCTGCCCACACTCTGCAGCCTGCGTTCATGTAAAAGCTCTTGTCTCATTGCCCAGGGATCCCTCCCACTTTGCTTTACTCGAATGGACCCAGAGCTATTTGACTAAACACCGCCCCCCGACTCTGGAATCCTCGCAATTTGCTCTTGTTTTGCCAACGCCGAACGAACCATGGCAGTGACAATGGCTGACGGTCCGAATCGGAAGGCCTGCGATCGATGTCATACGCAGAAGCTCAGCTGTAAACGCGTCGGCGATGAAGCTTGCGAGCGATGTGTCAGGCTCAAGACGCAATGCAAGTCAAGCCCATCCCTGCGGTATCGGAAGCAACACCACCAGCAATCGACAGGCGATATCCTACGAAGAAGCATTCCGTCGCCCAAACGCCAGCGATCCAACAGTGGGAGCCACGTTGTGCAACCCGATCTGTGTGAGTCTCGTGTCTTTGACTTGTCTGGGGCTCTCTCCCTTACTGACCATTACTGTGTAGCCATTGTCAAGACCCAAGCGGGTGATTCTATCACGGGGAACCCTGGATTTGGGGATCATGCTGTGTCTCCAGAAGCCATGCTGGACATTGTCGACTTCGACTTTGGCTTTGGGCAACCGAGCCTCTACCCCAACCCAGCGCCAAATCAGCCTTTGCCGCCGCCATTCCACGGTGGCATGGAAGACCTCATGGCAGGAGATTCAATTTCTCACGCGTGGAGTCCCCCGCAATCTGCAACATCGGAGTCGGCATTCACATCACCTGTGGCTCCACAGCCAGATCCAGCCAACCACGTCTATCTTGGTAGTCCTGGCCCCTACAGGCCATCAGTCAGGCCTGGTCAACAACTCGACATCACTCCGGAGAGGCGACAGAGAAGACGTGCAAAGCAGAGGACAAGGCAGATTTCCCTCCGGCCAGCTGCAGGTGGGCCGGGGCCGTCTGCGGAAGAGTGGATGCCCCGGATCATCAACGTCAACTCCAGGCTCTTCGAGCTTTCGTCAAGCCTCCCACACCAGGCCGAAGCTTCTGACGAGCCGTCTCGATACAGCATGGCATCCAGTCCCGAAGAGGGCAGTGCAATGATGACGCCTTTCCCGGTGGACGAGATGTTCAAACTTTCGCGCCACTTTGCCGAGATACTTGCGGAGATGGCACCGATCGAAGACGCCTCCCCCGCTAGCGACATGGAAAGGCACCAGCCGAGTAAGGGACTCGACTCACTTGCGGATCCGGCGACTTGCCTCTTCATTCTCTCCACATATGTTCGACTCCTCGACATGTACCAGAAGGTGTTCAGCTGCATTCACTTTCAACTAGGACATTTGCAGCCGGCCAGCCTGTTTCAGTCATGGAAACTCCCTGGTGTCACTGTCGGATCTTTTGCGGTAGACTCGACGCCTTCACTGCAAATGTCTCTTACGATTCAATTAGCCGAAGAGTTTCTCTTGCAGATGCGGCGAGCAGCATCATCACTGGACCCAACTCTGCGATCGGCGGAGTCTCCAGCAGGAAGAACGCTTGACGCGACTTCCATGTTTTCTGGGGTAGTGGATGTCTCATTCCAGGCCCTGAAGAGGCAAGAAGAGAGTCTTGGACAGGAACTAAAGGACCTACGTAAGGACATGGAGTCCTTCCTTGACGGATGAAGATATATCGGAGTTACACATGTTACATAATACCATTGTTCGTTTAAGCCGCATCTCTCCGTACACCTAGCAGAAGTGTACGAATCGAGTTTGGCGTGGAGTTGGAGTTCGGCGTCGCTGTTGAAGAAGAGAAACAAGCCAGACTTAAACTGGACTACCAAGACAAAGAAAACGTCTTTCATATGCAAGTACCCCGACTTCCCCACGAGGTAAATGTGCACTGAATCTCACACATTGACTTTGGTACCAAGATTGCGGACCGGTGCGCGCTTCCGAGGCCGCAAAATACCCAGCCCCGTTTTCGACGTCGTTACGCTTCCGTTCTCGTCGAGCCAGCCAAGACCTGACACAGACCACATGTCGGTCGTCGTTGAAGAAGAGGCGCCTCTTATCAAGCCTCCCGACAGCCGATGGCGCCAGTGACTCTGCGATGCTGGACGGGAGGCTAGCTAAGTAGTAGTCCCGTTCCCGGGCAACTGGCCGACCGCCGAACGTGCAGCTCAAATCCCGGCGACCGTTCGAGACACGTTCGGCCACGGAACTCCGAACCACCCACCCCTTGCCAACATCATGAACGCCGAACGTTCTTCTCCCACCGCCACACGCCCCATTCCACCCCTTTGGATCCACCCCAACCGTGGGGGATGGGGGCGTGTGTCTCTTCTGCCCCTTGCTTTTTTTGACAGCAAGGGCACAGGCGTCATGATACCGACGACGCTGGTCTGCGAGGGAGACATCGCGAGATTGATGCCGCGGGCCTGTTGGCTCCTTTCCCCTTCGCCGTGTAAGTGAAATTTCTATATATCCCTTCCCGTTCTTCGCCCGAAGTGATTCAGTTCATTGGAAGCAAACACATCTACTCAACTTCTTCTCTATTATTATACTCTTCTCTCCGCCTTGATATCTCATCCCTGAGGCCATCATCCCTACCACTTATACCCTTTATTCCTTCCCATAATACATAATCATCCTAGAGATACCCCTGACAGCAATGTCTACCTCCTACAAGACCCCCAAGTCGGAGCCCATTGCCATCGTCGGCACTGGGTGCCGCTTTGCTGGCGATGTTAACTCCCCTTCTCAACTTTGGAATCTCCTCTCCAAGCCCAAAGATCTTACACAAAAGGTTCCCGCCAACCGCTTCAATGTCGAAGGCTTCTATCACCCGGATGGAGAGTATCATGGTGCCACGAACGCCACCCAAGGCTACTTCCTCGAGCAAGACCACCGCGTATGGGACGCGGGCTTCTTCAACATCACGCCTAAAGAGGCGGAGGCTATCGATCCGCAGCAACGTATCGTGCTAGAGGTCGTATACGAAGCCATGGAGTCTGCCGGATACACCCTTTCCCAATACGCCGGCCGCAAGGTCGCCGTCTACGCCGGCCTGATGACCGCCGATTACGACTCGCTTTGCCAGCGCGACGACATCACCGCTAGCCAGTACTTCGCCACCGGTAACTCGCGAGCCATCCTCTCTAACAGAATATCCTACTTTTTCAACTTTCGCGGCCCCTCCATGACCATCGACACTGCCTGCTCATCGAGTCTAGTCGCCCTCCACCAAGCCGTTCTCAGCCTGCGATCCGGCGAGTGCGAGATGGCCTGCGTGGCCGGCGCCAACATGATGATCACGCCCGAGCAGTTCATCACCGAGTCCAGCTTGCACATGCTCAGCCCTACTGGGCGTTCGAGGATGTGGGATGTTGGCGCGGACGGATACGCGCGTGGTGAAGGTTTCGCCGCGCTCTTCATCAAGCCCCTCTCTCAAGCCCTGAAAGACGGAGACGCAATCATCAGCATTGTCAGAGAGACGGGTGTCAACTCGGATGGAAGAACTCAGGGCATCACGATGCCGAACCCCCTGGCCCAGGCTGAGTTGATCAAGGATACGTACCGTAGATCGGGTCTCGACTCCCAGAGCCCCGCGGACCGATGCCAATATTTTGAGGCGCACGGGACGGGCACCCAGGCTGGTGACCCTAGGGAGGCGCAGGCTATTGCTACTGCATTCTTCGGGAACGAGCCGTCGACTGCCGCTGATAGCGATGACAAGAAGCTTGTCGTCGGGTCCATCAAGACGGTCATCGGCCACACGGAAGGCGCCGCTGGTCTGGCTGGCCTACTGAAGGTGGTGCACTCCATGCACAACAAGTCGATCCCGCCCAATCTGCATCTCGAGACCCTCAACCCGAGCGTCAGGCCCTTCTTTGGACACCTTCGCATCGCCACTGAGCTTATCCCTTGGCCGCAGGCCCCGGCTGGCCAGCCTCTGCGAGGCAGCGTCAACTCGTTTGGCTTCGGTGGCACCAACTCCCACGCCATCATTGAGCGGTACGAGCCGAGCATCCATAACGAGGTCGCGAAGCGCTTCGATCAATCTGTGAAGCTCCCTACCACCAAGCCCTCCGTTGCGCATGATGCTAGCAAGCCCAGCGTTGGCCTGCCTCTTGTTCTCTCCGCCAAGTCACAGAAGTCTCTGGTCGCGGTTGTTCGCTCCGCCAGAGAGTTCATGGTTGGTAACAAGACATCGGCTGACGAGGTCGCCTACAACCTCTACACCCGCCGTTCCGCCCTGACTTACAGGGTTTCTGTCTCTGGCGACTCTCGCGATGCCGTCATCGCCGGTCTGGACAACCTCCTCTCCAAGGCTGGATCCTCCACTAACCCCGAGCTCGGTGTGCGTGCAAAGCTCGACGGCAACAAGCCCAAGATCCTCGGTATCTTCACCGGCCAGGGTGCCCAGTGGTCCGGAATGGGCCGCAAGCTCTTCCACTCCAACTCCGTCTACCGCAGCGCCATTGAGAAGCTTGAGGATGTTCTCAAGACATGCCCCCACCCTCCCACGTGGTCCCTCATCAAGGAGCTCATCCACCAAGACGACGCCTCCCGCATCAACATCGCCGCCCTCTCCCAGCCTCTATGCACCGCGGTCCAAATCGCCCTCATCGACCTCCTCGCCAGCCTTGGGGTTTCATTCCACACTGTTGTCGGCCACTCCTCTGGCGAGATCGCGGCGGCCTATGCTGCCGGCGTCCTCACTGCTCGCGACGCCATGCTCATCTCGTACTACCGCGGCATGTCTGCCCACCTTGCCGGCGGCAAGAACGGCCAGAAAGGAATGATGATGGCCGTCGGGATGACGCGCGCCGAGGCGACTGCTCTTTGTGAGCGCGACGACATCAAGGGTCGCATCTGGGTTGCCGCCAGCAACGCGCCCACCAGCGTCACCCTGTCGGGCGACATCGATGCCGTGAAGGCGCTGCAAGCTGAGTTGTCTGCGGAGAACAAGTTTGCGCGTCTCCTGATCGTTGATACGGCGTACCATTCCGCCCACATGGAGAAGCCGGCTGCGGAGTACATGCAGGGCTTGGCCGCTTGCGGCATCGCGCCGAAGCAACGGAACGGAACGGTGTGGGTCTCTAGCGTCTACGCCGATGGCACGGACCCGAGCGCCGACGAGCTCAAGGCGAGCTACTGGAAGGACAACATGGTCAAGGCCGTGTCTTTCTACGAGGCTATCGACCTCGCTCTGAGCTCGCAGGGCCCATTCGACTGTGCTGTCGAGGTCGGTCCTCACCCGGCTCTCAAGGGTCCTGTTCAGCAGACTGTCAAGGCCGCGACCGGAGGTGCACTCTCATACGCCGGTCTCCTCGACCGCAAGAAGGACGACAGACACGCCTTCGCTGAGTTCTTGGGCTTCACATGGTGCTATTTTGGCTCTGAGGCAATTGGATGGAAGGCTCTGATCTCCAACTCAACCCAACCCGGCCTCTTGTCCTCCAAGATCGAGCTACCGTCCTACCCCTGGGACCACAGCCAGATGCACTACCGCGAGTCGCGCATTGCTCACCAGTACCACTTCCGCGAGCAGGGCCCCCACGAGCTTCTCGGTGTTCGCACTCGCGACGACACCGAGTTTGAGCTCCGGTGGCGCAACATCCTCAAGCTTGAGACCATCCCCTGGATCCAGCACCACAAGTTCCAGGGCCAGGCTTTGCTTCCTGCCTCCGCTTACTGCGTCCTCGCGTTGGATGCTGCAAAGGCTGTTCTGAACGGTCGCCCCGCCTCAGTTGTAGAGTTGACAGACCTCGAGTTCATGAGCGGCATCTCACTCGAGTCCAACACTTACGGGATGGAAATCCTCGTTGCGCTTAGCATCCAGCCCCCAGCTACCAAGGGCCGTTTGGCCGGCAAGGTTATCGATGGCACCTTCACCATCACCTCTTGCTATGCCGACGGCGTCGCGCCGATGCAGAAGAACTTCACTGGCAATCTGCGCATCTACCTTGGCGAGCCATCTGAGGGAGCTCTTCCCGAGCGCGACGCGGCCAGAGCTGAGACCCTGCCGGCCGACACCGATGCCTTCTACCAGATGATGTCGGAGATTGGCCTGGAATACACCGGTCCCTTCCGCGCTCTTGAGGGCATTGATCGCAGATACAACTTCTGCACTGCCACTCTCAAGAAGTTCCACGACTCGGACACCACCGGCCTCGGAGTCAGCCCCGCGACGCTCGACAGCTGCTTCCACTCCGTCTTCGCCGCCTGCGCCTCCCCCGGCGATAAGTCGCTCTGGACTTCATTCTTGCCTAGGAGCATCGAGAAGATCCGCTTCAACCTTGCGCTCTGCGATGGAAAGCCTGCCGACGGGGCCTCTCTGGTTGTTGACTCTATCATTACGCAGGAGATCCCGCGCACCAAGACCGCGACGACCAAGTTCGTCGGCGACATGAGCATCTTCAACACCCGCGGCGAGATGGAGATCCAAGTCGAAGGCCTCATGGTTGCTTCCTTCGCTAACTCGAAGCCCGAGGACGACAAGGAGCTTTACCTGCACACTGTCATGGACCTCGACCCCGAGCACGAGATCGTCACTGCCGACATCAGCAAGGAGGACGTCGCGACTGAGCGCATCCTACTTGAGAGCTGCGAGAGGGTTGCGCGATTCTACATTCAGGATGAGTCGGCAATCAAGGCGATGGGCGCGCCGCCTACTT